TTAGCTGCCTGCCAGTCTTTTCACACTCGGGTTAAATGGCTTGTGTAGCACTTTCCCTCCCAAGTGTAACTGATTGTACAATCCGTTCTCTCTCAACCTTTGCTGCCCATTCAGCCCTTTTTTGCTCAGTTTTTGGAGATTGTCCTGTGCTTACTTTCTCAGGTTTAGCTTTTTCTTGCTGATGTATAAATCCCAAGCTCACTAACTAGTACTACAGACAAATCACACACTATTATGTAGCTAAAATTGTAATCAAGAGATGTGTAAGTGTAACTGGTTCAAAATGTATATAATTATATTTGTAGTCAATAGTAGTTCACCATATATAGTATACATTGTTTTTTGGGGTCCTATACTATCCTACTTCTGACATTGGATCAGGTGATACATAACTCCAAACAGCCAATATTTTTACCACCTCATGGGTGGGTTCTAACCATTTTAAAATTGCATAATTCGTGTAACACATGGATAATTTAGTACAAATATAGTGCTAAACACGGCTTTTGCCATGCAGCAATGTGGATACACTATTAGTAAGGGGTGAGGTTGATGAAAACATTGTACTTCACACACCACAGCAGGTAGGAAACAATCATGCGGGATTCAATAAACTTCACTTGAAAAATATCACATAAATAAATATAAATTCTATAAATTAATCAAGTGGTATAATAACTGCAAATCCAGGACTGACTAGCGTGGGTTTGGAAATTGTCGGTACCTGAATTCCCTGGCGAGTATCAAGTCGTGGTGCATATATGTTAGAACACTTACAGCAACCATCGCGGTGTGGTCCCCGAGTGAATTTTATTTAACCAGCAACCAGAGTTCACAAGGCGGAGCATCAAAATCCAACTCCCCAACTGTCCCAGTATGTTTAAACATTTTATATTAAACATCGGATACCGGATTAGGCTATGGTAGCGCATGAATCCAGTCAATAGATTTAAGGGTGATGCAATGCGTTGATCCTCCCCGTCAGTCAAAATCTTAAGTAGAAACATGGTGGAATGACATGGGTGTACTTTAAATACCGGCCATTGTGCCATGTGGGTTACAACACCTGTATATCACCCAAATACTTTGACTTGGCATTAAAGGCAACATTTCGATCATGTGACATGACTTACTCTCAGACATGTAGTGTTAAATGCACCTAACTCTGGGCTAGAGTGTAGGCAGTATATATAAATTAGCAGTTTTGAAATATGGTAATAATTCATTAAATGCGTGAATTAATTGATCGTGTACAACTCGTTTCATATGATACAATCCATACACTTTGTGACACTATCTGATGCAAAAGAAGTTCGGTGCTTCTCAGATAATAAATATAGATAATAAATAACTTACACTTCTCCTGATCTATTTCTCCAGTGCAGTGCCATGAACCCGTCACCGCCGCAAAGTTTTTTATTGACATCAATAGCCATCTTTC